GTACAGCCATGATAATCGTGATCAAAGGCTTCAGCATGCAATTGCTTCCTTCACACTTTGGCAGAAGCAGGAACATCATGGCCTTTGGGGATTTCTTTCAGAAGCTCTGGTGGCTTGCATCAATTTCAGCTTTTGGAGGCATTTTGATTTCGGCTCCTCTCACTGGACCAGAGTCTGAGTATCTCCAGCGATTGGTCCAGCGACCAAGACCACAAAAGAAAACTGCAAAGGACGTCAGATCTTGAAGGCAATGAGTAAAGGGAAAGCTGGACCTTTCCAAGCTGTCGGTTGAGGCGAGGTGATTCCAAACACTTCCACGAATTCGCTGAACTCGGATGTAACACGAGTTGAAACTCGGATTTGACGAAAAGCCTCCATTCCAGTCCTGTGTTCCGCATTTTTGGTTCCTGCAGAAAGTTGGACCATCCCAACCACAGGTGACTGTGGATCAAAACGCTCAAAATCCCTGTAACAGTGGTTCGCCGTAACTTCACCTCAGCTTTCTCTCATCGATCTTCTCAAAGAAGGTTCTGACTGATTTACCAGGCAGGTGTTTGACCTGTTTTGCCATTTCGTCATGTCGACAAGTCACCAGTTCTTGGAGGGAATTCCCTGCAACGTGGCTGCAGTCACCCCGGCCCTGTTCAGCCGCGCGTAGCCCTGCCGAGGTCACACGATGATCGAATGGTGGATGACCCTTCAAAGGGGCCCCTTGGGAGGAGAAAGCATTGATGAACAAAAGTTCAGTCCTTTCATTTCCAGACTCAACCAATAGTCAGACTAACTTCGACATCAAAAGAGTTGGCAGATCAAATAGGGTTGGTAGCCACAGAGCTTTTGGAACATGCAGCTGGAGTCGTCAATGCTACGCAGTCTCGGTCTTTGACGATCCTTTCACCCCAAAGGTCCATGAAGAGCATGAAATTGACCAACAAACACCTTGCATACCCAATCATTCCATGCCTGTATAGGTTTTTTGGGGCATGGAACATCACATGGGAAGCTTCCGTATGATCTGTCTGGGGTGCTGGTCTTGGATGGGCTTTCTTGGCTACATCGATTTGATAATTTAAATGATGCTCTGCTCCTGCTAGATCCGCGATGCTGCGCTTTAAGGTCTGTGGGATTGTCTCAATGACGGTTGCAAGTGATACACAAAGGATTTGGGAGATGGTTGGGGAGTGCACTGTCTCAGTTCTTCCTAGATCAAGGATCCAAGCCAGGTCAAGTGCTCAAGATGACGGAGTGTATGCCGCGAGCCGCCTGCATGTCTTCGAACACGGCATGATAGGATTGATTCAGCTGAGCGATCAACCTCAACTGGAGGAAAATGGTTCTGCCACATCTGGGCTAGCGTCTGTTCCTTTGGTCTATAGGATGTCCTCTCCACCAAAGAACTGATCCGTTCGAAAGACATCGAAATGTCTTGGCTATGTGATGGCACCCTGTCTTGAATTTCAAACTAAATATATTCGGTTCCAGCGAATCCGGGTCCGCAATGTATTTGGGTGTCATGACAATATGATGAATCGCTTGAGAAAACCCAAGCTCCACCAATTCCACTGGGGTAGATGCTGATGCTTGGAAGATAATTTCAAAATTCCTTAACCATGGGATGCGGATCCAGTTGTTCACCAGTAACAAGCAGGCTGAGAACGATGTCCTGCACTCTACAAGTCCAGCGCTGGTCCTGGTCTGATGACTCAGTTCTCAAGCAGGAAATTCATAGAAACTCTAGATTCTAGTTTAAGGACAAAATCAACACAAAAAATGTTGATGCAAAGGAAACCTTTAAACAGGAGGTGTTCGCCAGTCGTCCATTGTTTTTGGGAGAGTCCGCAATTTGCGACAAGTCCAGGGATCAGTTGGCATTTCATTCCGATCCAACGTCCCAGTCAAGACTTGTGGTAGCAATCACCAATCTTCGCATCATCCCCCACATCGTACCTCACTCAGCCTTGCACAGTGGTTTTTGGCCTCCTTCCGAAAAAACTAATCCCAAAATGGTGATCCAAGCATCAATGAAGCAGGACGAATAAACCAACCGCAGCCTTCCTAGAACATAAAAACATGTGGGCACCCGCCAGGGAACAGGTTCAGAAGGAAGATGCTCACCACAGCCACAAAGGCCTTTGGTGTTCAGCAAATACGATTGAGGATTGGACTGGTTCTTACTCATTGCCAGAGAACATTCTAGAACAACAAGAAAAGACAACACTCAAAGCACCAAAAAAAGCTCTGAAGTCGATCGAGGCTCTGAAACGGAAATGGACACCGCGACATCAGACTCGAATTGGTAGTAGTCACCACGCGGAAACCTGGGAAACCGAAGCGCTGGTTGGGAAGTCTTCGAAAGTGGTTAAGTCTCGAAACCCGGCAGAGTACTATAGTTGCCCAGGTACCTCAAAGGTACCTATCCCAGAACTTGCCCACTCATCCAAAGGACTGACTGGGACCCCTCATCCCTTGCAGATTGAGTGCAAAGATGCCAACTCAGCCAGGAGGCTTCTGAGGCTTTTGAACTTCTTGTGCTTTGTTCTCTCTGCTTGTTATTTTGTCCAAATCTCGTCTTGCTCAGGTTCATTTCTTATCCTTTCTTTCTTTCTTTCTGTCTTTCTGTCTTCCTTTCCTTCTTTCTTCCTTCCTTCCTTCCTTCCTTCGCTCCTTCCTTCCTTCCTTCCCTCCCTCCCTCCTTCCTTCCCTCCCTCCTTCCCTCCTTCCCTCCTTCCCTCCTTTCTGTCTTTCCGTCTGTCTGTCTGTCTGTCTTTCTTTCTTCCCGCTCCTTTACTCCTTCAACCAACCTCAAAGTTTTTCGGCCCACCCTTACTGGACACCGGGTCAGCATATAAAAACGCAGCCTCTAAAGAAGCCCGGCCGTCATTTGGGGATGGGTCGTTCAACCTCGAGCCGGGTCCACCATGTAGCGAACAACTATCGTTGGTACAACATGATCAACCAAGGTATGTTGGTGCCATGACTCCCATGACCCATCCCCATTCTCCCCCCCCGGCGACGCGTCGTTCGCGTCGTCGTTTCCAACGAAGGCACATGCCCAGAGTCATCTGCAGAAGGCCGACGAGCCAAGGATCGACCCCTGGGACGGGAGAAGAAAAGGGTCTCGTTGAAAAGCGGCATCGTCCGAGGGAAGCCCAAGGCGGTTTTGATTGGTTTTTGCCAAAAAGAATACAAGGAAGCTGCATGCTACTAGGAGCAAGGACGCTACTAGGAACAAGGGCATCGCTACTAGGAACAAATGGCATTACTACTAGGAGCATTCTTGCTACTAGTAACGAGAAGCCACTAGTAGCAAAGGGCATTTCTACTCATCGTGTTACATCAATGCAGAAAACCCAAGCATGCCAATGCGAGTCCCTGCTACAGAAATGTCACTAGTGTTTTGCTTCAGAACTCAGTTTGTGATTCGCCTTATCCCTGACATGAGAACAATCTGCATCTTGCGAAATCAAAGAGCTATTGTCAAAACTTTTGGTGCCCTCAAGCTCGTCCAGTGGGCATCTTAGACTTCTCTCTTGCCAAAGCATGCAGAACAAGCGAACGGACCCGGGTTCTTCATGCCTGAAAAGTTCTCAACGGCATGCTTCAGAGAACTGATAGCTGTCCTCAGCATGCATTGGACTTCACCAGCTTGTGCAGCTATGCTAGGCATTACTGGGCTGCTAGTGTCATAAACCTCTGGTGTGATTGAAACATATTTAAACCAACAAACACTCGTGGGGCGCGTCGAATTGTTCTGGACTAAACGCCCACTAGGTTTTGCTGTGTGCATACACACATATGGTTCATCTCTTCTTACTGTTCTTCGGCCAAACCAAGCAAGGGTTGTTGGGGTTGACATATTAGCCTCCTTCCAACTGGACAAATGGTGTGTGTAGTTGGCCGGCGTTGCTGAAAAAATTCTCGACCAGGTACGAAAAGGCCAAAATCAAGAACATCAGCGACAAGGCGAAAAGCCCCACCTCAGCGACAAGGTGAACACCGACGGATCTGTCTCCGTTTCGATGAAACCCATGACATCCGACGACATGTGGTGCTGAAACCAGGCATCAATCCCAATCAAATGTAATGGATGGAAATCAAAGGATTGGATCGGATGGGGATGGGGCACCAGGTTCATCCCCTTGAATGCTGGACTCCAAACCTTGACTAAGAACGACTAAGATACTGTGTACCTTCCAAGCCAACACGAATGCTTCTGAAGTGCAACTCTCGTTACTCTAGACGACTCTAGACATCTCTAGACTCTAGACTCTAGTGCTGCAAAGTGTTTCTAGTGGTCCGGAGTTGTTCATGGCTGGCGGGTACAAAAAATCCGTTTTTGAAGCTCAAGGATGCTCAAGGGGGAATAGCTCTTTTAAAAAAATACTTCCGTGGAGCTTTCAACCGACTGAACACCTTTTGCATCTGTTTTTTGCTGACTCTCAAGAGATCTCTTTTGAGTCTGGTCGCTCATGGCCTTGTCAGCACACCCCGCCACACAGTCAGTCCTCCCACGCACAGTCGGTCGGTCCAACACCCGCTGAAGGCAGACGGGCCGTCATGCCGTCCAGGACACATCTGCCAACACATGGCCACACACGAGGACAAATGCTGAGATCCTCCAGTCGAGGTGAAGATCCGAGCAGCGGGGGGGGGGTAGGAGCAAGGACGCTACTAGTAACAAAGGGCATCGCTACTAGGAGCAAGGACGCTACTAGGGGCTCCTGGCCGTACTACTAGGAGCAATGTTTGCCATTAGAAACAAGAAGCTAAGAATTCAATTTAAGTCTAATTGGAATTTAATCGTTCGACACCTTTTTGGGGGCAGATAGAACGCTCACAAGAGTGTGAGGGATAGAATGGATAGAAATAGAACTCTTTACCTACACATGAAGAGAGGTAGTAACATGGCAAAGAGTTGACCAAGAGATTGCAGAATGGACCCTGGCTCAGCTTACTGGTCTGTAGAAATAGGTTATGGACCACTCACCTGACTCAAGGCTCTACTCAAGTCTCCACGAGTCTGTCCTCATTGAGAAGAGCGTAAAGTCCATCAGTAAAGCCCAGTACAGCAACATGGCAAAGCAGGACAAGATGGAGTAAGTATTCCTCAAGGACGGCAAGGACGCCCTGAAGGCGGAAGTTGCAGATCAAGGGGTTTCAACCCCCTCCTTCAGTGGGCGACTGGACGAATCCTGAAACCAGTAGTCAGTGGTCACCCCCCCAAACGGCCCAGCGCACTAAATGTCAAAACCGCGAGAATCGCCCAAAAGGATCCTCTTGAAAGACATACTAAAAATAGTTTCTTGTTACTAGTAGCGATGGCCTCCACCTAGTAGCTTCTAGTTACTAGAGCCTAGAAGCCTAAACCCGCAAGAACCTTGAAACGCCACTGCCAATCACCCCAACCCATGGCAGGCCTGCTGGGTTGAGAGCTTGCTCATCCCGGACAGGTGGAGACAGCCATTTGGTCAGGGTTTTCATGAATTACTGCGAGCTAGACGTCCTGTTCGAATCAGAATCGGAGAGGTGAGACCAACGAACAAAAGGAAACATGTATGGGCCATAGTGGGCCAAGCAGATCACCTGATGCAACGAGGAAATAGCAGATCACCTGGACCCGACCGGACCCAAGCACCGGGGCCCAGTGCACAGCCGCCCAGTGCCCTCTGCCCTGCGTCCGAAGCTCTTTGCTTGCTCTGCTTCAATGCAGTTGTTTGTAAAAATCAGGGGGCCTTTATCAGTGATGGAGAACACGCCACACCTGGAAATCGTGCCGTGGAGACTGAATCTATAAATACTTGAAGGAGGCCTTGGACCATCTACTGTTGTGCATAACAAATGCCCACCACATCTTCTTGCCTTGCCGCCTTGCCTTCAAAGTCGGGTCAGAAATATTGTTCATCGTCTAGTCCCATCTGACATCTGATCAAATTACGGAACTCCAGAAGAAGCATTATGTCTATAGAAATGACTTGAAAGTCGTTCATGCCCATGACTTGCTGATGGGTGAGGCCAGCAACGCAGTGTCAGCTGGATGGTAAGCTGGTAAACATCGATCTGACATGTTCACATTGTTTCCAAAACGGTTTCAATCTGACAAATGCAAGAGTAAAGACTGAAAACATTGGACTCAAGCATTTGGGATAGTTGACCCCACAATCTTGCAGAAAGGCCCAGCCTTGCTGTATTTGCACTATATAATATAGTATAGTAATAATACAATGCAATATAACATTGTGAATTCGACGCCGTCGAATGAGCGTTGAACTCAGGTCATGAGCGACTTCCGCGGCCCGGGCCGAAACCGCCCCACGTTTACTTGTTTTGCTACCACCTTAGCTGGGTGGGAGCGCACTGTGCACCATGAGCCATGGCAGCGAAGGTGTGAAAAGGCCGCACCTGATCCGAGCTTTGGAAGCTTTGTTTGGGCAAGCACTACTTCGAGCGAGAGCTTGCTTGAGGGTTGCCACTACCAACCTCAAATTGGTAGCGGAGCCCCGTACGGGGCCCGCTGCTGATTTGCTTCGAGATTGACGAGCGCTATGGCAAGTTCGCAGGGCGTGGACGCCTCAAAGGACTCATGGGTCCCGGTTTTCAATAACCGACCCACAGACTACAAGGAGTGGAGAGCCAGGATCCACCTCTACCAGAAGAAGATGATCTTGCAGAAGAAACCGCAGGAGGGGGTGATCAACTTGCTCACCACCTTGAGCGGCACAGCATGGAAGCAGGTGGAACCAATAGCCGAGAAGGCGAGCGAGGACAAAGAAGGCTTCAACATGATCATAGAAGTCATGGACAAGACCTTCCGCTACGACAGCCGCGTCCAACAGCCACGCAGCTTTGAGAGGTTCTTCTATAGCATGAGCCGCAGGAGCGACCAAACACTCATGTCATACTGCGCGGAACAGAGAGAAGCACTTCGTGAAGTGGAAAAACACAATGTCAAGTTGCCATCCGAGAGTACCGGATGGTTGATGCTTCGCCGCAGCGGCTTGACACAAGAACAGAAACAACTTGCGCAAAGCCAGTGTGGAGCGACCCTGGAGGAGAGCAAAGTTGAAGAGGCCATGTATTTGTTTGGCCAGGACTATCGTGGACGCGTTGGACCAGCTTCGATACAACTACCCGAACTCCAAGGGCAAGAACAACAACTGGCGCAAGACCTCCCAGGCCTACACCACCTATGATGAGGACACCGATGAAGAAGAGGCCTATGAGGCTGAAGATGATCCCTTCGGCTTTGAACAAAGCCCTGACTTCGAGACTGTCGATTATGACCGTGAGGACGCCTACGAGCTTGAGGATGACGAGATGATCTTCTACAACGATGAGGACTACCCTGACTATGAAGACCCTGAATGGGAAGAATGCTATGCGACCTACCTGGACGCCCGAAGACGGTTTGCCGAGCTTCGCAACAACAGAGGCTTTTACCCGGTCGTGGCATTGGCTGACCAAAGAACTTCATCGACTCCATCGTCTTCGCAACGACCTGTCCCGCCACGAGGAAAAGGAAAAGGGCAGAAGGGTGGAAAAGGAGATGCCAAAAGTCGAGGAAAAGCCGCACTGTCGACTTCATCTATACCAAGACATGCCATTTTGCAGCTCAATGCACTCAGAAGCGCAGCCCCACATCCAGTCCTACCTCATCAGCTGCCAAGAAGAGCAAGCCTGAGCAAGGACTCATGGTCAACTTCGAAATGAAGGGCATCCAAGCACTCCCCAAGGGATTCTTTGGAACTATGGATGGTGGAGCAAGCTGCATGGTTCTGGGCCATGACACCTTGATGAACTACATCGAACACTTCCACAAGGAGATCGACGTCTCCTGCTTCAAGTTCCGACCTGCCACCAAGGCAATGCAGTTCGGAGGTGATCGCACCATGGAGGCACAATGGACAGTGCACATGCCAGTGTGCGTACAAGGCCGTCTAGGCCGAGCTGAAGCTTTTGTTGCGTTGGGCTCAACGCCACTGCTCATCGGCCGACCCATCTTGAAGGCCATGAAGATACAGTTGAACTTCGTTGAGGACACCATGAGCGTTGACGAGTCCCCATGGAAGAAGATTGTGACGTGGCTTGGAGTCAATCCCCGACGGCTCATACGAGTTCGACTTCATGATGGAGGAGACCTTTTCCAAGCAATGACACAGCACAACAGCACGGCAACAACAGAGACCTACACACTTGAGCACTACTTGGAGCTCACTGGTCTCCCTCCACCAAACCTGGAGACAGGAGAACCAGCAGAACCCAGAGGATGATGATGATGATGATGACACCAACACCTGCTACAGACGCACCCTGACTAACAAACTGGTCAGGAGCTTCCGTGTCCACCAACAGCACTTGGCACTACGCCACAAGACCACTATTGAACAAGCATTGGCATCACACGCCAAACATGAGATGCAGTTCTGGGAAATCTATGCTCCATTTTGGCGACAAAGATGCAAGAACTCGGCTTCAAGGTCCGGACATTTGACCTTCTCAGTGGCTGGGACTTCACAAAACCAGCTCACCAATGCGAGTTCATCCAGCTCTACTACCACTGCAGCCCAGAGATCACATGGCTAGCACCACCATGCACCAAGTGGTCACCACTCCAACGGCTGAACGCACGAACACCCGCAGCGCAACAGCGCCTCGAAGCACAACAGCAGCATGAAGAAGGAACCCACCTGAGGTTCAGCAAGCCAATACACAACAAGCAACACAAACAAGATCGAACCTCAATCTTCGAACACCCCAAGTACGCTACCTGTTGGGAAACACCAACACTCCAACAGCTAGAAAAGGCCACGACGCTCACGTCGACCAGTGCCAATATGGAGCAACACTGCCTGACAACAATGGTGACGAGCAATACATCAGGAAACCAACAACACTGCGAGTCACACACGAACAGCTAGCAACACAGCTACAGCGCATCTGCACGGATGATCACTACCATCTTCCCATTGAAGGGAGTTCACCCCTGATTGGGAACCGTACAGCGGCAGCCGGCAGTTACAATGCCAACATGTGCCGAGAATGGGCCAGCATTCTGTACGACTTCATGCACCACAACTACTGGCCATATGATGAAGACGAACAGGCCTACCCAGCAGAAGCAGACCTACAGCTGCAGCGACAAACAACAGCCGCCGCTGCAGAGCAACAGGCACAAACAAGAGAGGATGAGTATGACATCGAGGAACTGGGCAACAACAGTGGCATCCTGACACGACTATACAAGAGACACAGCTAGCAGCTGCCAGACGCACTGTACAGAGACTGCACAGGAACCTCGGCCATCCAACAAATCTCGAACTGCGCAAACTACTCAAACAGAAGCAAGCTAGTGCATCAATACTTCATGCAGCACAAGAACACACTTGTCAGCTATGTGATGCACACAGGCCACCACCACACACAGACCTCCAAGAGCACATTGAGGACGGGTGGCAGCTTTAACAGCCGCATACAGGCAGACACAGTATGGATCAACCCGTCAGGACACTTCCACCGCAAGCAGAAGCCACAGGCAATTCCAGTCCTCAGCATCGTGGATTCTACCACGAAGTTCATGTCAGCACGAGTGCTACGAACAATCTGAGGAACTCGTTCGAGCAGTTGAACGAGGGTGGACCCGCCACTTCGGACCTCCAACCATCCTCCAGGCGGACGACCACCGCGGTTGGGCATCAGAACAGCTCAGAACATGGGCCAGCGACCACGGCACAGAGCTGGAAATATCCCCCGGCCAAGCTCATACCCGATTGAGCATCGTGGAACGACGGCGCCAGATACTCCGAAGGGGTATCGAACTGTTCCTTGCACACCGCAGAGAGGAGCAGCCAGACCATGATCCCAACATGCCTCACAGGGACAACAACACTCCAAATGTTCAAGGCTACACTGGCAGTGAATGGGCCATGGGCACACAACCCAGGATCCCCGGAGTGTTGATGGATCATGATCATGATCTCACTCCAGCCCAACTGACTCCCAGTGAAGCCATGGAAACAAAACTGGCACTTCAGGAACAAGCAGCGATAGCAGTCATTGAGGCAGACAATGATGCCCGCTTGAGAAGAGCCCTCCTACGACAGCACCAGGCCATCCAATATGTGTACCACACAGGCCAACGTGTCTACTACTGGCGCGATGCACCAGGAGGAGCCGGACCAAAACTAGGATGGAAAGGACCAGCAACAGTGGTGATGACAGAAGAGGGACGAACAGGTCCCGCAAAAACACATACTGGATCACACACGGCACAACACTGCTTCGAGTCGGTGGCGAACACCTACGCCCTGATCTCAACCACAAGGACGACACCGATCCCATCATCCGGGCAAAGAATGCCCTGGACCAAATCCGTGGCAGAAGCACCACTCTGCACACGGACCTACAAAAGACAAACAAGCGCAAACGCTCTGAAGTGGTCACCGAAGATGAAGATGACACAGAGATGACAGCTGCACCGCCTGAGACCGGCACCACAGATGCACCAGCACAACCACAAGACCATTGGGACGTTGAAGAAGATGGCATCACATGGCACCGTATCCACGTCGTCCCAAGACAAGCACTTATATATATATATATAGATTTACCGACAGGCGACAGCCAAGCACCACATGACACCTTCCAAGGCCTGAGGAGAACAACCATCCTCCGGCCAGGTCAACCACAGAGGAACCGCACCGTGCTCCAGGATGATTGGCGACTACCAGACGCCTCAAGGAGCATGCCTTTCTCGTGGACAGGCACTACAACCTTCATCCTTCGCACTGACCGCCGAGCACCAGCGGACAGCAATGATGTTCAAATGGAACAAGAAGACACGACAGATCCTCCAACAACAGGAGAAGGACATGGTGATGAACCTGGACCTACGACTGGCAGCACAGCCACTGGCATCACATCACCGGCTATGCCACCAGTGGTGATCAACCAGCATCGGTTGAGTAACCAGCTGGACCACCAAGCAGCTCAGGACAACCAGAACCACCACCTAGCATATTGGGAGAATCAGGAACACCAGGAGATCATACCAGAGCATCAGCAAGCAGTATTCAACACACCAGGACGGTCAGAGTCTTTCAAAGAGCGGAGAAACCGCTATGACAGACAGGAGACCCTGTCATTCTACACACCCACCGACAACAAGGTGAGGTACGGACCGAACAAAGAGCCGTTTGAGACCTTGATTGCCTCCCGGCTGGAAGCTTGAGAACGGGTGTCTTACCCTTGATGAGTGTCGAGACCAAAGGGCACTCTACGCAGACAAGTTGGTCAGAAGACACTATCTGCCCAGGAACACCCTGTTTGACCCGACAGACAAAGCAATGACATGTCCACTACCAGCACACTACCTCAGCAAGGACAGACAAACATTGGGCACAGGGAACCTAAACAAGTACGAACGCTGGAAACAAAAAAAGGGGGTGAACCCACTCCTTACAGCTGGACCGGGCGGACAATCTTCAAAGTCCTCCCAGCCTTCCGCCTACTGGCCAAGGAAGCATTCTACAATGCCAAGGTCATCAGACCTACATCGAACCACAAACAGTACAAGCAGAACACTCCTACGCAGCAGCAGCAGCAGCAGGAGTTAAGTCCCGAAAGGACCAGCACAATGAACGCCAGATGACTGTAGCCGACAGGCTAGCGTTCATGGAAGCCAAGAAGAAGGAGCTGGAGAGCTTCTTCGAGAACGATGTCTGGGAGATGATGGATCCACACCACAGGACCGCATCCTGAAGGCTCACTTCATCCTGAAGCGGACCAAATGGCCAAATGGAGAACCTAGTGCAAAGGCACGATTGATCACTCAAGGGTTCAAAGAGCCAGACGCCCTCAGCGGCCAACTCAGCACAGATTCAATAACCCTGAGCCGCATCGGGAGGAACTACATCCTCTCCATCTGTGCCAACACAGGATGGTCAAACTTCAGTGCGGATGTGAGCACCGCCTTCCTCCAAGCAAAAGAACATCCCAGCCACCGCACTCTATGGATCAAGTTGCCACCCGACGCCCGTCGCATGCTGGGAATCAGCGACAAAGAAGGCGACAAGGCCTTGATTCGATGAGATTGAAGAAGCCCATGTACGGCTTATGTGACGCCCCAAGAGCTTGGTACAGTGAAGCCAGAGAAAGAATTACCAGGCTTGGCACCATAGTCCACCCATTGGACCCATGCCTGTTCATGGCCTACAACTATGATGCACCCGAAAACACCTGCACAACACAGGCCGACGACAATGGCAACTGGGCCTATTCGGCCTACACGTGGACGACATCCTAGGATGTGGCAACATGCACAACAAGAACTTCCAGTCCTTCCTCAGCTCCCTGAAAAAGACCTTCAACTTCCGAACATGGGAACAAGACACTGACATGGAGTACTGTGGAGCCACAATCCACAGGATCAACGAGCACCACAACGAGTTGCACCACAGCAAGTACTTCTCCAAGCTGAAACCTATCAGCTTCGAAGATGGTCCAGACACCCAACCAGTCACAGACAAACAAAGGACCGTGCTCAGAGGCACCATGGGAGCCCTACAGTGGCCAGCCACCCAAAGCAGCCCACATTTGCAAGCAATGGTAAGCCAACTGGCAGGCCAAGTGAGCAAAGCCACACTGGCGACACTCCGAGAGGCCAACAAATGCCTCAGATGTACCAGAAGCTTGGTCCAACCAACGAGCTGACACTGATCGGCTACAGTGACGCCGCCTTTGCATCCAGAAGCGACCTCACTTCACAGGGAGGACAAATGATCCTCATGGTTCACAAAGATGTGACCAATGGAGCTGAAGGCAGCTACCACCTGATAGACTGGCGATCATGGAAACTGCCAAGGGTAGCAAGATCAAGCCTTGCAGGAGAAAGCCAAGCAGCCTCAGAAACGGCTGACTCACTCCCCTATGCATCAGCATTCTGGAAGCTGATCTGGTCACCATACCTAGCACTACAAGACAGCAACATGGCAAAGCTCCAGCACCCACCAAAGATGGTGATCGATGCCAAAGCACTCTATGACCTGTTGGTCAAACAAGACCTACAAACAGGATCACAAACAGACAAACAAACAAGCATCGAGGTGTTAGTCACCAAGGACAAACTGTCCTGTACAGGAGCAACAGTAGCCTGGGTATCGAGCGAACTTCAATTCGCCGACGGCATGACAAAACACAGTGCTGCAGCACTCTTAGCACAACGGCTACGCAACCACATAACATGCCTACGACCAGACCCAAACTTCACTGCAGCAAAGAAGAAGACAGCCAACGGCACAGCTAGCACTACTAGCCTCTCTAGCAACCACCACAACTGCGCACTCCACAAACCATACAGAACCACCTTCAGACAACATGGACTACCAGAACTTCACCTTCCTCGTTGTCTTCACCGTCATGGTAGCCCTGCTGGTGAACTTGGCCCTGAACTACTTCACCAACCGGCAGGTGAAAACACGTCACCTCAAGGACGTGACAAGCCAAACCAGCTACAGTGACCTGACCACCCTGGTCAGCCACCGAAAGAAAGAACAACAGCTGGAAAGGACGGTGGAGAACCTCCAGGCCAAGCTCAGACAAGCTGAGCAAGCCATAAGCACTCTGCAGGCCCGCCATGCAGAAGAGATGAAAGCTCATCGAGACCTACATGACTGGCAATTCGAGAAGATGAGGGTCATGTATGAGCAAGAGGTCAAGATCCGAGCACGCAACAGAGTTCGTGCCGCGATCCTCGCAGATGTGCACCACACCAACCACGGTGCATGCTGGCACGCCTCCTTCCAATGTGCCAGCCAGAGAACTGCGAACGTGACCTACACCCTGAGGCTGCAAGAGTGTGCCCACACCTTGGGCGAGAACTGGCTTGGAGTGGAGACGGCAGCGGTTGAAGCCGCTGAAGCCGCCTTGGATGCAGCTGAAGCTGCATATGCCACTTTCAATGCAGCAGGAAGTGCTCACGAAGACCTTTCCACCGGTGTGAATTCGACGCCGTCGAATGAGCGTTGAACTCAGGTCATGAGCGACTTCCGCGGCCCGGGCCGAAACCGCCCCACGTTTACTTGTTTTGCTACCACCTTAGCTGGGTGGGAGCGCACTGTGCACCATGAGCCATGGCAGCGAAGGTGTGAAAAGGCCGCACCTGATCCGAGCTTTGGAAGCTTTGTTTGGGCAAGCACTACTTCGAGCGAGAGCTTGCTTGAGGGTTGCCACTACCAACCTCAAAAACATAATATAAGAAACCCATGGGTTGGAGACACCTTGACCTTCACCCACAAGTTGGAGAATTGTATAGACTAATCACTGCAATAGGTTCAGTTGTGCACTGACTGACGGTCTCCGTTAAATACTAGCTGTTAGGGTCAAACAGCACAATTTAGTCTCCACTGTCTCCCACAGTTATCCTAAGGAGAGCCTCGGCACATTCGAACATCACCGAGATACCACATGATGGGCTCTTCAATGTACATCAAGATCAGCAGAATGGCAAGGAGGCACGTCCCACCCTCGGCACCCAATCCATCCGTGCAACCCGGTGGAGAAAGGATCTGCAAATGGCAAAGCCCACAGAAGTGAGCAAACATGTGGCATGTGATAACGATCACAATGAAGACGCTCCTAGTAGCAAGGACGCTACTAGGTGGAGGCCATCGCTATTAGGTTGGAGGCCATCGCTACTAGTATATAGCAAGAAGCTTTTAGGTCTTTGTAGCTTCTTAGTACCTAGAAGACATCTCGCCTTCGAAGCAACTTCGGGTGCTGTTTTCACCCACATCTCATGCTATGCCTCTATATCCATGGCAAGTGGGCTCCTCTTTAGATTCTCAGAATGTCCTCATATTTCAACGAACTCTGCCAGATCTGTAGGGGAACAAAATGCCCAAGGGAATGTTAATGTAGATGATTGCCGCCTATGATTGCCTCAACAGCTGCCCCGCTGTCTAGCCAAGCCCACCGATTGAAGAGAGAAAGCAAACGCAGCTCCAACCTGATCCTTATCATGTTCATTGATTGCTAATAAAACCCTTTGAAACATTGAGCTCTACGCCAAAAGCCATAAATGGCTGCACACTGCAGCAAATGATGCCAAGGCGCATGCTGCAGGCTAAACAAGTATCGAGGTATTGGGAAACAACGAAACCTAAGCCGGCTAGGTTGACGAAGAAGACGCAAAAGAAACCCTAAGACGCTTCACCAAAGGTTGGCTAGAGAAAGGGCCTGATTCCGAAGGTTTAGGGTCACCGTTCTTCATAGCAACTATATCGTTGAACTTGACAAGCTTGGGAACCAGTCGATCGGTTAGTCGTGGCACGACAGAACTCTTGGAGAAAGCTGCTAAAATAAGCATGAGATGACTCCGAAACGAGGAACGAATGAGGTGAATCTGCTCAAACAAATACCATCCAATACCACTTGTCCTTGTACTACAAAGAAAGGCTTCCCTTTGGATACCCTCAGTTGATTCTGAACATCCTCATGCCCTCTTCAACCGATTCCAAAGGCTGGTGCAACCAGGAGAGAATGATGCTAGCTGAATCTAAACTGACTATCTGTATGGGTGTCATATTGGATTCCAGCTCATCTGTCCTGGGATGAGACACCCTGAAGATCCACTGTCGCTCAGTCGAAGGACCATCTCAAGTTCCGTGTCTTGAGGTCGGTGGCTAAGAGCCGGCATTGATCAAAACAAAGCTTTGATAATCCTCGGAAGATGCCAAATTGAGCCTGCGATACTACTGAGGAGTAACTTGGGCCACATGTTTCTATCATATCTGCTAATGTCTGCAGCATGGTTTGGTTGAGGGACCTATCGGCTGATAGAAAGTTCACTACATGCTTGGACACCATATTGACTACAGTGACTACAACACACATGTATATATATATATGTAACTTTAACTTTCTATATAATTATATGAATCTATAGACATCTCTCTCTTGAAGGGAACAAGCAAATTACATTCACAATCTGCAGCTTGCCGAGACATGCGGCTATATGGGGAAAACATAGAACACCTGCACATTTGAGTGAATCTATTGCCAAGACACCAAAGAAATACAAGAAGCAACGGCAGGCAAAGCGTATGACATTCTCCTCCACTGTCTCAGTCCCGTCGTGACGAAAAAGCACTGCCTGGCTGGTCACGAAGACACCTCAGGAGCGCGGGTCACATGGCGTTTGGCACCTGGCGTCCAAGTCTCGCGGAAAACTGTTGCGGTCGGGCGACAAACAGTGAAGAGGAAATAACATCTTCCCAGCAGAAAGTGATACATGGCGAGGTGGCTCCAGATGAGGTCTGCAAACATCACCACCTGAGAAACCATCTCGGTCCGACTCGGTCCCGAGCAACGCTCCCGAGCAACGCTACGCTGCCATCGGTCGCCGGATTTCGGTGGTCTCGGCCTCTTCAGAGTCCAGCCGGTGGTCGTACCCTGTGAAAGGCCACCTTCGGTGGTCGTCTTCATAGGGCCTTCATACGGCCTATGATACATGGTAGTACCACGGCCTATGAAGCCCTAATTGTTGGAAGTCTTGAAGTCTATAATAGGCGTTGGCTTGGGTTTGGCTGAGGGCCACAAAGAACACACGAACATGGCCATGTTCGGGCCACCGGAGACGGCATAACCTGGAAAGATTCGAACACCCTGCAAGTGAAGTTGCTCGGATGTGTTTGGGGACAAATCCGTGACAGCTCGATGTCCCAATTCTAAGCGAATGAGCAACCGAAATGTCCTTCTGCATCATGTAGGCTAAACCCCTCCATGATGAAGTTGAACTCCCCAGCAAAACTCGACAATTTTGCTCCAAATCCCTTTCAGTTCACAACCTCAATGGTCAAAATGAAAAGAATGAGTCCCCAAAAGACTCAATGAAAAACCTGGGTTTTCTTTGTTGCTGCCGAAATAGACACACCACACTATGACCAGGACCCCACCCTTGAGACGCAACCCTCCTCTGACCTACCACTTTGTCTCAAAAAGCACCAGGAATCGCAAGCCGATGGCCTACGGACCTTCCCGAAATCACCCTGCTTTAAGGGCATCGCTAAGAGTAACAAGTGCATCGCTACTATAGTAACGAGGGCATTGCTACTAGTAGCCTTCTTGCTGCGTATTAGTATCAAGTGCATCGCTACTTTATCAAAAGAAAAAAAACAGTGTCCATTTCCGGGTGAAAAAGCGGAGGGCTTTTTGTCACCAGGTTCCGGAAGACTCCGTCGACTTCTCGTGACTGGGCCATCTCTCAACTCTCTGCCAAAATGAATGGCATCGTTACTAGGGGCTCCTGGCCGTACTACTAGTAACAATAAGAAGCTATTAGAAACACATAAACTTAAATAAAGTTTAATTTCTTCCTCCATGGCGCCACTGGGTGGACGATAACCTTCGGATCCCCATGGGCAGCCAACCAGCTCAAACTCTGACTGCTCTTGCCATGCAAGTCCTCCCAGGCAGAAAAGGTCCGTTATCTTTTTTCAGGGTAGTTCAGTCTGAACTCTAAGACCGGACGTGGCCCACCATGGTGGGATTGAACAAAGGGGCAAACTGCTTTGCAGACGGGACTGATGGCCCTAAGAGTAATTGGTTTCGGTTTGGGTTATATAGTATCCCTAGGCTGGGGTTGTCCAAACAACCTCTACCTTTCGATATACCACTTTGGGCCTGATCTGGTTCTTCTTTCTTATCGTTTTACAGTGCCCTCACTAGCTCCAACATGTGTCTACTGAGTCTACATTCGCGTGCACTGCATGCGGGCACTGAGTCTGTACATGACCACACAGCACTACCGTGTCTGTGAGCACAGCGCAGCACTCATCTCGGCCAGGGCGATGTGAGCATCTTCTTGTCCATGGCGATAGCGCTATCGTGTGGGCCAGCCGGTGTCTAGGAGAAGGTGCTTTAGGAGAAGATGCGCTATCGTATGCTATCGTGTTTTCTTTCGGTTTTGTGATCATTTTCGTGCATGGTGCACGCATCGATTCCATGCACAAAGAGTGATACGGCAACGCAACACTGCTTTGTCTTTTGTTTTTGGGGTGGAGAGGGTAAACCTGATAAGAATACGTAGGAAGGGTTGTCCAGTTGCCCTATGGTGTTTCTTCCTTATCGTTCTGCCGTCGATGCGGCATGCTTCTGGGTGTGGGCGACTCTCTCAGCTGTCAGATTGGTTTCTGAAGCCGACTCACCGAGCCAAAATAGATATTTCAGTTGGCATTTCTTCTTGCGATGCTTTCGAATTAAGATGAATTAAGATGCCATACTATTTGGGGATGAGATTTTCTCAAGATGATCGATGGACATTGCAAACAGCTGCATGTTGTCAAGATACCCTCTGGTATCCTGTGTCTGCACAAAATGGTTGACAACGAAGCACTTCCTATCAAGAGGCTAGAAGAGATTAGATAATGTATCCTATAACTACATACCGTATATATATACATATGCTTTCAAGGTTCAGCGTGGACTTGTGGACCATGGTTTGGAAGCCATCCATCCCATGATGTGGCTCCTGGACCAAATGCTTCACATAGTAGTTGATGCGGCGCTGGGCTTGAACGGTCAACCGAGAACGCCAGACTAAGCCATCCAGTAGGGTGTACAGCAAAGTGGGAGCATCTTTACAAAGCCTGGCAGCTGGGGTCTCGCAATCGCCGGGTAGAGAAATGTGTTTGGTTCACAGCCAAGATCAGCTCCTGTGTCTTTCTCTTAACTATATTTTAATGCATCTGCAAGCATTTATGTGCAAATACTGCTTTTATGTTGCACATGCTGCATGCATGTTCTGTGAAATGAAATCACCAAATCGGTACAACTACTACGGCTCAGTCCTGGGGAAACATCAAACATCAATCGTTGCGATACATTGTGGTGAATCAGCTGCTTCAGAACCTGAATATATAATGTTCACAAGAAGAAGTTCCCATTAACACTGAAAGGAGACGCTAAGGAGGGTATTGACTGTCATGCTGCTTTGCCCAAAGCAGCCCTCTCCGGCCTTTGTATGATATCTGGGTGTCGGGTAAACAGCTCATTGCAGCCATAATAGTATACATCCCGATCTGCTCGAATGGTGAGAAGATCGATGATCCTTGGGAGATCAATGGACTTTTGAGAACAATTGGGGTGTGGTGTGGTTTGGACCGGCAAAAACCCAAGATGTGCGGCTCTTCCTTTGCAAAAATGTGTGGCGCATGGGCCACATGGGATGGGCCTGCTGACAAGCAAGACCCAATCTAGAAAGAGACAAGGGGTATCACTCAGCTACCAGAGCCATCCAGCCAAATCTGGACTCAAACCTCTTACGATGTCTATGCATGTCCAGATGATCTCAAGTAAAGCGCAAGATCCCGACAAACTGGCAAGGTACACAAGTTCCAGTGTAGTAGTATATGTTGCTACTCAGATCTTTTCCCACCAGCAATCCAACAACTCCAGCAACAATCAGCGGCAAAAAGGGCACAACGTCATGAAACGTGATGGGCTTGCATTCTCCATCATACCGTACCCCTCAATGACTTGGTGCAAGGACAAAAGATGATTCCTGCAATGTTTTCGGAATCTTGGAGTGACATACCTTTTAGTGGGACTGTATGAGAATAGGGCCCTACAAGCCTACAACACCCTCAAAACTACAACCCGGTGCTGTCAGGGCAATCCAGGAGCCCAATTACCGCTCGTAAGGTTGGAAGCCTTGTCCTAGACAGCTGTCATTTCCCAACTGCTGTCATTCCATGTCCAGAACTGTGGTAGGCTAGTCATTGGGCCCAGTTATATCAAACTTCTGAAACTTGAAGCCGAAAGAAGGCTACTAGGAGCAAAGGGCTTCGCTACTAGGAGCAAGGACGCTACTAGGAGCTCCTGGCCTTGCCACTAGGAACAAGAAACTACTAGTAGCAAAGAAAGCAACAACCACGGAAGCTTCACCGCTGGAAGACCGCTGTCGACCCAGGCTCATCGCCCGCGCGCTGTTGAGCGCACCACTCTCAATCGCCCAGAAGAGTGGAGAGATCGATTGGGTGCCCACCTCCATTCTCGCTTCGATCCCGCTTCAGGCCAAACGGTATGCAGGATCGACAGGTGTTTTTTTCTCATTTTGCTATCCAAAGAAGCAACTCTAGTTTTGCTGTCACTCTAGTCATTGACGTGAGGATGACTAGATGTGTATATGTGGTGGTGGCTCAAATGAAAAGACATTGAAAGACCTAGAGCCAGACCTAAAGAAAGGGATTGGTTTTCCGGGAAGTTCACCATACGGCATACGTTTAGAAAAACGAAGAGACATCAATCCCCACATGCTTCTCCCTGTGGTCTTCTCCCAGTTTCTGTCAGAGTTTGGAGGGTCAAAACTCAAAACGTGGCACGGCGCCCAAATGGATACGCTTCAGCAAAGTTCCGATGAATGTGCTTTTCATTTCTGTTTGATCTATCTATACAGCTGGTGTCTGGGGTTTCCATAGCACACCAGAACAGCACTATGTCCTCATATCTGATGGTAATATGCGCTGGCAGGCGCTGGATGTCCTCGAATTTACAGCAACCCAGGACTTCATGAAAACCTGCCTCCGCCTCGTTCGGACACATGCCCCCCTCGTTCGGTCCCCCATGAACTTCATAAAAATCGCAACCGGAATTCTCCAAAAATCGCAAGAGATCCAAGTCCCAGCTACGACCAAAATCTGAAAATTGGTGTGTATAATAAATAAAGAGATTGCGTTTATATATATATACACCTGGAACCCCATTAACACCTATTTTGATAGGAAAAGGCCATATTTTGGGTGGTTGGTGGTCCAAAATAGAGGTCATTCAGGTTCTAGGTATATTATTCTATATTCATCCTAATTCCTAGCAAATCAGGGAGTATAACCTCCAAGTCCACAGATGATTTTGGCTGTGACTGAGCCAGGCCACAGAGATGTTCAAGAGCTCCGTAGCCCTCTTACCGCGTGGAGCAATGGCCACCGCCTTCTTCATCGCCTGCTCCTGGTGACGCCGCAAGGGCAAGTAGCTGGTCAGGTGTGCGCGCGAGAGAGAGAGAGAGGGAGGCCGAAGCGCTGAGAGAAAGGCCTCTCTTGGAGCTTGTATCATGCAGGTTGTAGAAAAGCTTCCTAAATGGATGACCTTCCCTCCCAACCCCACCCTGCCTTTTCAATGTTAGCTGCACGATGGCCCAAATCGACGGCCCAGACTACCTTTTTCCCCGCCCCGCGCGTTGTCGCACCGGCGACACATCGGAACCATCAGCTGGTCCTGATTGGTATTGATGGCTCTCATCACCAGTGTGGCACCCTCCCCCACCGCTCGCACTAAGATCCTGAGCGAGACACGTGGTGCGTTTCGCACCAAGGAATGGAACAATCATGGTGTCCGTAAACTGACATGGTCCAGTTATCCCAGCTGCTCCCAGCTTTATGTACGCAATGTTCCAAAAACACACCCAATAATCAAAGAATATGAATATACATAATTTGAAGGAGGATTTCCAAGATCTACTTGTAGCTGTGAAGCCTACAAACCATGGCATTCGCTTCTACTGTATACATTCTGAAACTGGCTTCCGCAAGTCGGCAAATCCAAGGACGCTACGAATGTAGCTCCTGGCCTTACTACTGGTAACAAGAAGCTACTAGTAGCAAAGGGTGGAGCGTTTTATAAGAAGACCTCCAGATATGTCCAAGCATCTTGGCCACCAGCGTCAACGACCATCGAAAGCCCGCCAGAGCATGGTCATCGGGTGACATGGAAGCGACCGTGTCGACTGCCGCCGAGACATACCTCGCACGACATCAAAATGCTCTTGGTACGTTCTGTTCACATCATCAAAGAACCCCGGATGTCTACAAAAGAAATGATACTCATCTGATCTGTCCTTTCTTCACCACAATATCCAAAAAGAGGATGCAAGGCATCCATCCTGCTGTACCAATATGCAAACCAGTTCAATGCCCTTTTGTAGCTTCAGACCGGCATCAATGTCAGAGCAAGTTCCTAACCTACAACCAACACATGTGCAAACCAAACAATACGAATTCGGAATTCCAACTTCACACATCTTCCTAGAGGACGGTCCCCATTCCAGTGCGCAATCAATTTGAATTGCTGACGCAGACATGAGTGACCCAGTGCGACCCACGGAATTCAGAGGGACTGACCCAGTGCATTCGTCGCTTCACAGGTTGGATGTCGAGTGGCGGTCCGAACATCTCCGTTGGAATGCCAAAGCCCACGTGGCGCAAGCCCAAGCCTGCGAGTCCAATCCAAACACATGCAGAGCCTGTGGCATGTCCCACCTAGTCTTTGTTACATGGGAAACCTGGATGAACCTGGATGAACATGGTGTACACCTTGCGTTGTTTGATACGTGCGCCGTATCAGCCCCTTTTGCACGTTTTGGCCACGTGTTGCGAGATTCTTCACGTCGCTGCGGTCGGCATCGTCCATGGCACAGCCGTGGCGCGACCGTGTCCCACACCGGGGAGAGTAGCGATGGCCTTTAACCTACTAGCGATGGCCTCCAGGACCTCCATCTAGGCACAAAAGACCATCCGCAGTTTTGCATCTGGAAAACAACAAAAAAGTCATTGGATGTCATCGTAACGTCGTATGTATAGCCTGTATAGCAGTCACATACATGCTGTTTCTTCAAGTCTCGCTGCCACTCATAGCCAACAGAAACCTGACCGGCTTAGTCGCCCCAGTGCCTGAGATTTCTTGCACCATCTTCCTCACACGGTCGGGCAGATTCTCGGACGAAACCGCAAAACTCAACCCGATACAAACAGACCTCATCCAACCTTAAGCTGATTCGTGTCAAAGAAGCAAGGCCAAATTACCAAACAAATCCAAACAGCAAGGACGCATGAAAGCTCCAATAGTTGTTCAAACACTGAGGATTTGAAGAACACCGGCACTTGCTCCAAAATGTTCAATCCCAACATTCCACACCCAAGATTGGACAGCCCAAGCAATGGTCAACTGGCGGCTTCAATGTCCAACCAACCTGTCAAAGCCACCTGCGGCGTGTGCCCCGCGTTACCGTTACGGTGTTCGACGCCGGACTCACGTCGTTGTTGCGCCGAGCGGCCGCGGGCGCTTGAACATGTCCAAGGTGATTTCAACCACGCGGTCAGCCAAAAAGTAAAGCCTGGCAACAAGAAATCCAGTGACCTGCACTGCAGCAAACTTTTCCGCCGACCTATGAGCTTCCCAAAAGAACTTCAGCAAAAAGCAGCAGTTGAGGCCCTGATTGAAGAGCTTTCATCTCTCTCATATGTGCTGCAAGTTTCACAGCAATTAGTACCTGTCAGTACCTGTTGGAACATTTCACTGCCATTGCCGTTTTTTCCACAAGATCAACACCGGACGGTTGCTCCAAGGGGACAAATGGGACAAGGACAAAGGTCAAACATGTATATATAAACATTTGACGTTTCACCAGACCCAGCACCAGCCTTGTCGTTGACTGCTTGAAGTGATCCTGTCCTGCAGGGTGGGGGGAGCGTTCCTGATCCTCTTGCCGTTTCTCTGAGCCCAGGGTTCGCTTCTCAGAATGTCAGCCCGGTCAATGATGTATGACATCCAATGACAAACGCCGGGAGCAGAACATCTCCTGCCGGCGCATTTTGGAAGAATCTCTTGTAGACTTCTCGCCTCAAAACCAGAATCTGTGACGGAAGGGAACGAATCACATTGAGAGATCCAAGCAGCTGTATATTGCCTCATGTGCTGTATATTGCGCAGCATTGCAAAAGGCAGGTGATACAGGACTCAGTCGTTTCTGTTCTTGGTTGATTTCCGCTCCTGTCACGCGGAGCCGCCAAACATGGACGGCCAAGAAAACTTATCCAACAACTTTCGGAGCCAGATAGAGTCGACTGTCGGACAGCGGCCCACCTGAAATAATTCACCATCTCATCAGAGAGCCCACCGATGAAGAGGTCAAGTGCTCTCTCTTGCACCCTTGGATTCACAAAAACACTCGCTGTGTGGGTTCAAAAAGTTGGAGTCCACAAGCAAAAGAAATGTTCCAGGTAGGAATTGGTTTATCCTTCTCAGAAGAAGATCCATGGAATCTGGAGGGTTTTTTTTTGAGCCCTCAACCCAGCATGGGACACCAAACCAATATCGATCTTGTCTCTTTGGCAGGCGAATGGCTGGGCTTTGGGGATCCCTACTTCAAATGTATGGTGGGCAACCAGAGGAGTCAATTAGGAGCAACACTAATTAATAGGTGCCCCAACCAACGAATGTATATGCCAAGCTGCTTTGGCTTGCCCCACTGCGCCTCACAGGGCGGCAAAGCAACGCGAGAAGTAAACATTTCAGCGGCTCAAAGAGATAGACAGCCAATTTTGACCATGTATTTGGACATCGGTTCAGAAGTCTTTTTGACTCTTGCAAATCCTTTATGTATGTACCCTCCGAAATGTTCCACTTCCCGGAGTGTTGAATGCTCAGTTGAGCTCTAACCCAACAACTTACTAGCTTTGAGCACGGTAACTCAGCGTGCGTCACAACCATCATGACCCCAAAGCAAAAGATTGCCCTCACCCGCTCTGCCTTCAGCATGCGCTCGATGTTTTCCCAAAGCCAATTCCAGGCCACCTTGCCATGGCTTTGGTGGTGTGAAAGGCTTAAGATCCGGAATAAAGGTGTGTTTCTAGAGCGGGACCGCATCCGGCTGATCAAACAGGGTCAACCAGGCCTTCCCCAGTGGTTCTCCCCCAACTCCTAGTTGTAATATGTTGTATTCAGGGGTGGAACTGAGGAAATTCTGCCATTGTGGCTCGCCTAAGTTCTGAAATTCTGAGGGACTGAGGGAGTACTACTGGTTTTTATGAGGTCGCTGCTGCATAGATGCTACAGTAGGTCCATTTCTTGGAGCAAAGCGTTGCATCTGTGTCACTTTGCAGTCCAGCAATGACTTCGCTCTTTTCGTTGGAGGTCGCACTAGTCGCGTGCGTTAAAAAACGAGCCAAATCAACGCCCGAAATCCTCCACTGTCCACACATCAACAGGGGTCGAGAGCCCGGTCCAGTTCCATCCGGTCCAGGCATGAGGAAAACGGCTGAAGGAGAAGCCACATGAAGCAGGATCATTAGGATTTCAAGGTGACATTGTGCGGGCCATTTATAACCCTACCTGTGAAAAGCTGGGTCAACAACCTAGCTCAAAAACCCTTTGCGCTCAAAGTCAAAAGGGGAAAACACGGAGGGGGGAAACTGCATGTGGCGGTTCTTTTGGCGTAGTCACGGCCTAAGCTCAAGGGCCCTGGTGGCCCGCGAACCAAGTGGCGGCGACAAATGGCATGGAATGCGGCGCATTCTTCACACCGGTGGTGCTTAGCAAAAAAGCTTCATGACGAGCTGCTAGCACGGTGCTGTATTGGAATCATGGATGGCCGATGGCCTTCTTCCGGTGGGTACATCACCCTGTTTGCACAAAAACTGCAGTAGTCGAATCCCTGTACTCCATTGGAGTTGTTGAGCCCATTGCAGTCGGTGGTCAGGTGATATCGCTCGCCTCTCTTGGACAAGAACACTGTCCTGGGGATGCCTGCCAAACTTCCTCTGGCTGCTGCTGCCTGAATTCTTACTTCTCTCAACTCTTCACTGATCTCTTCGATCATTTGCTGGTGCCGATCAAGTTCATGATCAGTCTTCTCCTGTCGCCATTGCCTCTGTTCGATCTCCTCTCGCAAGTCGGTGATCGTCTTGCGTAGGTCTTGGTTGACCATGTTTCCTCTTCGAATGTATTCCTTGTACTGCTCGATCTTTGCCTCGAGCTGTTCTGTTCTCTCTTGCCTCTGGACTTGGGGCGGTTCCGCTTCTGTTTGCATCGCTCTCTCTTCTCCCACGCCTTGCCGTCGTCCTCTGTTATGCCTTTGCTGCCAACATCCTTGCAACCAATTGATGAGTTGCACCAACCCAATGCCAACCAACAATGTAATTGCTATCAACATCCAGTCAGTGTCGGTGTCCTTGTCCGTCGATGCGACAACAGGTTGCACACTGCTAGAAACAATCATCATTGTCAGACTCTTCTTGGCACTGATGGCGTTTCGCCGGGCGCTTTCTTTCCTCTCTTCAACACTCTTTTTCTTTGCAGCTTGAAACGAACTATCAGCCACCATCGAAAACCTGTGGCTTCGTAGTCGATCTGCAAGCAATTGTCTCGCCTGGGTCTTTGTGAGACCGTCCGAGAGCTGGACCTCCGAGGATACCCACCTCAACTGGGTGGACATGGACTTCATCTTTTCCTTCACGATCATTACCTCGATTTGGGTCCGCTTGTCTCCACTGATTTGTGGAACCTCAGACTTGATGGCATCATACAAAGCCTTGGCATCAATGACGAGTGCTGTAGGAAGAAAATGCTTGTCACCTCTCTTGTCAGACTTTGCTGTGCTCAATTGAAAACCACTTTGGTGACATGCTTGCCAAAAGATATGCAAAAATTCCAACGAGTCAACTGCGGCCGAACATGCCTGTGCTTCAGCATTCAACGAACTTCTCGACACTCTTGAGAGCTTGTAGGATCGCCATTCCAAAATCATGTATGGTTGATCCATCTCTCCTTCCAGCATCTTCCTGTGGGCCAAGAGGATGAAAAATCCTCCCTGACTCAAATGATCTTGCCGTATGCCCCAAGCGGCGTCCGAGATGGCAATCATGCACAGGTCACTGAGAGGTCCGAGTCGTTGGAATCGCAGCGATGCGTCTGCATTTGCTTTTGCAAACCTCAAGGTCTTGTTGGCTCCTTCTGCAACTGACTGTGTTGCACCATTGACATTGCCACAAAGCAACGAGATCGAGGCTGAAAGGTGTGGTGAACTTTGAGTGGATGCCCATTGTAGTGCACCTAGAAGACCTCTGAGGGCGCTCACTTCGCTGGGCCTCAACTCTTCATCAGCTGCTTTCTTAACGGTGGTCATTGGCTTGATCTTCTTCAAATAGTCTTCTTGTTGCAACTTCCAAGACTCATCTTCACACCGAGTCAGCCGGTTGCCACAGAACTCAAGTTCTCCTGCGACATCACTTGTCCAGTGCTTGAAGTTGAATTCTTTCTTGAGGGCTTCTCTGGCCTTTTGATAGTCTTCATCACTTTCATCTCCTGCACCGATGAGGTCATCAACGTGAAGTCCAATCAAGGACACGAGACGTCCATCTCGATTGTGCAGCTTGTACAGGCAGTGATCAAGACAATGGATTTCATATCCACATTGACATAGCCTTCTTTGAGCAACTCTGAACCAAGCCCGTGGAGCATCAGCTTGGCCATATAGGGGCTTCAACAACTTCATGTAGGTCCCTGGGGCGCAGCCAATCAGTCGACATGCATCTGCCGGAATCTTGCACCACAGCATTCTTTCTTGTCGATCACCTTGGAGGAATGCGGTGCTGACATCTGCTGTGAACTTTGACCATCCTTCGTTCACGGCCACAGCAAGCAAGACTTGTCGGCTGATCCTTGACAGAGTTGGGCTGCTTGTCTCCAATGACCCCTGGAGAAGGTCAGGGTCGGAAAATCCTTGGAGGACCAAACGAGCCTTTGCCCTTGGGTTGCCCTTCTGGTCTGTCACCCACTTCAGCACAAAGCGAGCTCGCATCACCCTGCCATGATCAACTTGCTCAGGATGACGCTCCACCTCCCACACTCCATTTTCGAAGATGCTTGAGAGCTCGGCCTTCTTACCTTCGACAAAGGCGAGTCTGTCTTCTAACCTCATCTTGCCCTCTCTCAAATCATCTTTCTCCTTTCTTTTCTTTGGCACGCTCACGGCTGCCCACACATGGCCTCGTCCTCGAAGTGTCCAGCGATTCTTGGTTTTGGCTTCCAAGTCGCCCGCATAGGCCATTCTTCTTTGTGTGGTCGCCTCCTTGGTGAGCGGAAACAAGGTCTTTCCATGCCACTGGCCATTGCCAACCACATAGGACTCTTCATCGTTGACATAGATCTTCCTATGGCCATTGATCATCGTCAGACCTTTGGTTTTCTGTAGGTCTGCCTTGGCCAAGCCAAATGGAAGTTGGCTGTCATTGAGAACAAATGTGTGGTCTCTGGACCAGCAGTGATTCCGGACCAGAAAGCCATCTTCGAAGCTCCAGAAGTCTCGGGTTGGACTTAACACAAATTCATTGGTCTTCTCATCATACGTCCAACCTTCAGCCAGATGGTTGAGACTCTGGCGATCCATGTCTGGAGTGGCTGACTTCAGGTCTACATGGAACACTTCTTCATCATCTTTGACCCTTGCCTTCTTATCCTTGTGGCTTGCACTGCCGCTGCCGGGAGTAGGTGGTGCATGTGTGGCAGCCTGGTGAGGTAATGGAACCTCGGCCACCTGTGCCTGTGGTTCAACTTCACCTGCCGCTGCCGATGCTGCTGCTGTGCTTTCTTCTGCCATGGGTTGTGGTGCCATGGGCTGCCGTGCCCATATCGTCTCCTGTTGGTCGAGACGTCTTCGTTTGTCCTCGAATGTTTCCGAGGTCGGTGTTTTGAACAGTGGGTCGATTTCCAGATCTGGCTCCGGCTCTGTTGGCGCGTAGGAGGTTGGCGCCATGGAGGGCCATGGATGGTAGTACTGGATGAGGTGAACCCATGAGGTCATCGTCGTCCGGCACTGGTGGTAGCTGAGATGGATCTGGAACTTGTGTGTCACCCACATTGTTTGTCTGTGTTGGAAACTGCCGCCATAGCGCTGCTACTTGTGCTTCACGTTCCTGCTCCAAGGTGGTAGGAACAGGATCCTGGATGCTGAGGGCACGTGGTGGCGGTTGTGGTGTGCTCGTCACCGGTGGTGCACTGCCCGTGTGTGGTGCACCACTTGATGCTATTGTGTCAGGTTGCTGATTGCTGGGTCGCTCTTGTGGCTGTGGATGCTGCTGCCGCTGTATTGCTTGCTCCTCGCCTTGTTGTTCCCGTCTCAGGACAGGGTCCAGCAACTCTTCATCTGCTGGGTCTTCAGGGTCAAGTTCATCAAGGCTTCGTTTGTTGGCCTTGTGCAAATCGAGCACTCTGACGACCCTACGCTGTCGGAGGCCGGAAAGTGCGGCCGCGGCTCTCTCCTGGGCTTGCGCCATTCCATCATCATTCGGCATCTTGCGAACGTGCTGCCGACCGGCTCGAATGAGGGAAGTTCCGCGCGCTAGCCAGTATGTGGAGATTGAGCCGTCTTCGGGCCTGCGTTCAATCGCCAAGATCACTGCAGGACCTCGCCATTGGATCGTGTGCTGCTTGTCAGCCGACTCCCTCCAGTAGAGGCACTTTTCTCCTGGAGACAAATCTTCATCACGGCCCACAAACTTACGAAGCAAAGCTCTTCGCAGCTTGACATCAACTTCAGCCTTGGCACATGCTGCCTGAGCTGCAAACTTGAGCTGGAGTCTTTTGTGAAGTCTTTCTTGTTCTCCCATCTGCAGCTGGTTGACGGTGGTTCGATCGTCTGAAAGAAGACCTGGTAGATTGGGTTGTCTACCAAGTGCTAGCTGCGTTGGAGTGAAGCCATTCACAAAGGTGTGGTCATTCAGGGTCGGAAGGACCCAACTGAGGGCATCTTGAACACCTTCGACTCCTTTCAACTCATGCTCCTTCATGAAGATCTGAAGGCTCTTCCGGAGGAGTTGATGTCTTCTTTCAACCAGGCTTGTCCTGGTGTGACTCTGGCCGGGGCTGATTCGCATCTCAATGCTATGGTCCTCTGCCCACTTCATGGTGTGGTCTGAGGCAAAGGCTGGGTGTTCGTCCACGAAAAGCCTTCGAGGTGGGCCATGCATGCGAATCCAGCTTCGTTCAAGAGCCTTCTGCAGCGTGAGAGCTTGTTCTTCTGCAACAGTCCGGGCCATCATGTAACGAGTGGCTTCATCGACCATCACCAAGATGCCAACTTTCTTTTGTTTCTTCTCTTTGGTCTCTTTGGCTTCTTCTAGGGTGTTCAGGTCAAGCCACATGACGTCCGCTTGTACGTTCACGTTGAACTCTGTTGCCCGGTTCAGATGGGCTGGAGCTGCGGACTTCTTGATGGCGAAGGAGTTGCAGTAGGGACATTCTAGCTCCTTGATGGCAGCGATGATCTTGGGATCACATGGCTTGTCTTTCAACAGGTCGAGCAAAACCTCGGTTCTGGGATGGCCGAGATTGCGATGAAGCCTGTAGGCAATCCGCACTGCCTCAGGGCCATGTTTGGTGCCCAAACGGCGCAAGATCCCAGTGAGCTGATCATCTTGGCCTGTTGCATAAACTTGTTCTGGCAGTCCTTCATCAGCCATGATGGCCTCAGCGATGTGCTTGGCCATGAGCTGTGGATAGTTCTCAGCTTCACGGCAGCGCTGGCCACCTTCAAGAGGATGGTGGCGATGGCCACCTTGGCATCTTGTGGACATCTGCCAGATCATTGCTTGTTTAGTAGTCCGGATGGTTGTAGTCTTCTTGATTGGCTGCCAGTCACCTTGGTCTGTCCATGTTGTGGCTCCATAGGCACACTGATCGAAGGTCACCTTCATGCCTGGCAGGAACTTGAATGCTGGAGTGTCCCAGGCCTTGGATGGAGCTGGGTGCTCAATGTGAGCGTGCCTGCCGTTTCGAGCTTGTTGTACATAAAGTCGTTTGCAAAACTTGAGATGGATCTCATGGTCTTGCCACTGTTTCTCCTGCAGGTCACGAACATCTTCTTCAGTCCTGATGTTGATGTTCTGCATGGGGCTCCAAAGTGTGCACTTGGGACTCAGAAAAATCTCATCAGGCTCCAATTCATGCTGTAGATCAAGTAGAGCTCGACGATGCTTTGCTTTAGAGAAGTCCCATCCATCATCGAGACCAAATCGCATGACCTCGGCGCCTCGTTTGGCGCACTCCTCGGACACTCTTCCTCTGCCAGCATAGACTTCCCATACCAGCTTCTTTCTTCTTGCTTCTGGCCTAGCTTCATGAAGAACTTGTCGATGCTTCTTCCTGAGCTCACGGAGTTGGAGTTCACTGCAAACAAAGAGTCTTTCCAAGCTCTCCGTGGACTTTTCAATGCCTTCCTTTTTCTCAAGCTCCGTCTCCTCATTGGCCAGGCCTTCAACTTCCGTTCTCATCTCCTCATAGCGCTCTTCGGCGTTGAGGTCTCTGAGGAACTCTTCGAAGGGGACTGATCGCTCATGATCATCTTCACTTCTCAAATCGAATCTTGGATTGTCCAGCTGTTCGGCTTCTTGGAGGTGTTGGCAAAGTGACAAAAGCATCGCACCTTGCTTGCCTCGGTCGATCTCTTTCCATGGACCACCCATGATCTTCATCTTGTTGCCACCAAAGTCGACCACGGCCTGAAGCTTCTCTAAGATCGGCCTTCCAAGCAACATGGGAGTGGCACCAAAGATCACATAGGCCTGGATTCGGCCTGGCACACCTTCCAGCAAAACTGGGATGGAAATCATCCAGCGAGCATGTCCTTCAGCGTCTCCACCAAACCTGAAAAACTTGTCGCATTGCTTGCACTCCAGCTGAGACAAATCAAATCCTTTGGAAACCAACCAACGAATGTAGCGCAGGAGGTATTCTGTGCCCATCAGGAAGCTGCTTGCACCCTGGTCCTGGATCACGGTGTCTGGCCTGTCGGTGAGCCATCCACCGGCTCGGACAAGCTTCTCGCCTTGTGCATAGGCGTCTTCAGCATCGAAGAACTCGGTCTCCTCAATGCAATCTTCAAACTGCATGGGCTCCTGGTGTAGTACCATCGCAGCTAACAATGGGTCACCATCCTCAAGCACTCTCTTCTTGGCTGGCGATGAACTCTTCGATTGGCAATTGGCGGCGAGATGGCCGACCTTGCCACATCTGAGGCATGTCCTGGTCTCAGGCATGCCTGCCATGGCGTCTTTTGCTCTTGCCTTTCCAGTAGGCCCTTTTCCGCTTGTCGATGAGGTCGATGGCTTGCTCTTGGACTTCTTCCCTTTTCCTTTCTTTCCTGATGGCGATGGCGAAGTAGGAAAGCTCGATGATGGAGAGAAAGGTGCTTGCCGTTGATCGACCATAGCGACAACTGGATAAAAACCTCTGGACTGTCGCAACTGTTGCATTCGCTGTTTGGCATCTGTGTATGCTGCATATACTTGATCGAACTCCTCAGTGTCAAACAGAGAATTCTCATCGATGCTTGCAGCGTCAAAGAAGATGTTGTCATCCTCATCTTGCCAGAGCGCTTCTTCTGGGTCATCAAACCAGTCCTCAGTGACATCTTCTCCAAAATAGGTTTGATCCTGATCCCAGCTTGCACTGTCCTCAAGCTCCTCATCCAACGCTGCATGAACAAGTTGGCGGGGTTTCCATCGTCCCTGCTGCTGTAACGGATTCCGGCGTTGAGGCACATGTGCATGCTTATGATCCTGACCCAAAATCAAATACAATGCTGGCTCGACTGCTGACAATGTCAATGTTGTACCAATGTGAGTCTGAATCATCAGCTGTTGCTCTCTCGTCAATGCTGCCCTGCGAAGCATCAGCCAGCCCGAAACCTCCGGGGGCAACTCGATCTTGAACTTCTTCAACTCACGCAACGCTTGATTGAACTCACTGCAGTAATCCAGCAACGATTGTCCTTGCTTGCGAACCAGGCGGAAAAAGAAACGCTCAAAAGCCTCCGGCATCTCGACTCGCTCATCGTACTGCCACTGGGTATCCAGGCGTCGAAGGATGGCCTGGATTCCTTCTTCTTTCTCCAGCTCTGACAGTTCAAGGTCTTCACACTGTCGCCAAGCTGCACCTTCCAAGACAGAAAGCACGTTCAGAGCTGAGCTGTCTCACGGGAGCGACCCTGTAGCTTTTGTCGATGAGCATACAACTGAATGCGTTTTCTCCATTCCTTGTAACCAACAGTCGTGTTGTCGAATCGAGGCACCAGAAACTTATCAGTGCTGCTGTAGTCCGTCGACTTCTCATCAGTCGATGTCGGCATGGCGTCCGCACCGGTGCTGAGCCTCACTTTGGAGGCTCCGCTACCAATGTGAAAAGCTGGGTCAACAACCTAGCTCAAAAACCCTTTGCGCTCAAAGTCAAAAGGGGAAAACACGGAGGGGGGAAACTGCATGTGGCGGTTCTTTTGGCGTAGTCACGGCCTAAGCTCAAGGGCCCTGGTGGCCCGCGAACCAAGTGGCGGCGACAAATGGCATGGAATGCGGTGCATTCTTCACACTACCCATTTCATAGTGGAAATCCTTGTGAGGATTCAAGAACCTTCGCGCTCGCACTGCCACGCTAGGCCTGCTACGCCAACATCTTTGATCGTCAACAGCTCCAACTTGCAATTTCGGGAGAGCTCAATTGAATTCATTGGCTTGCCCAGAAGAAGCGGAGCGATTTCACCATCTGCACTCATTTCAACATCTTCCCAAGGAAAACGTCCAAGTAGCTCTCCTCCATCCAACGGACCCTTCACCATTTTGCTCTGACATCCATCGACTTGCTCCGCTCCCGTCCCCGAAAACACCCACCGAAATGGCGTAACCCGCAACGCACACGTCCGGTCTCCGGGCCCAGCACGGTCGCGCCTCGTGCTCCGTGTCCCAGTCCTTCGGCGCTAAGGACCGCAGCGTCGCCAGCATCACGGAGCGGAACTCCGTCAGCTGGATCTGCACGGCATCGGAGTGGAAAAAGCGCTTCGAATGCCGTTGCACGATGGTGGGTTTTGGCCATGTTGGAGTACCTTGGGGAACATGTTCAATGATGGTTTGATGTTTAAAGTGTTCCTGGAGGTTTTTTCCCGAACAGAATTCCAGACCAGTCTGGGCTGCCTCCATTCCATGCAAATTACCGTAGGTTCGCTAAGTTGGTTGGCCAAGAAAGGCGACCTCCTGCGTGTCGTGTGGAAAGAACAGGCGGATGCTCCAGATGACAAACCTGAAGCTGGATGGCTGGATGCGATCAGCACGCACCGGCCCTAGAAGTTGTTAGTTGTTAAAGGTAGACATGGTAAACCACCAAATAAAGCAAGATCTCTTTTTTCGGTGCCCGACCTATGAATTACAGTAATTGTTAAGTGGTTGATTGGTTTGGTTTTGATCAGATAAACCGTTTGTGTTCTTCGCAGTTGATCTCATTATACAAAATCACGGTATGCCGTGTACTTCCAAGTGTTCAGTGCGACTGCCCGCTGTTTGCTATGATGAAGCAAGTGCTTGGTTAGGAGTGACCCGTATGATCATCAGGTGGGCTGGATCCGAAAGTACATGTCCTTGGCTATTGTGAGCTCAACAGTGCCTTCCGAACCAACTCGCGAGTACGTTAAATCCAATTAAATCATATATAACCAGCTCGTGGCAGGGAGCATGATCAGCATGGCAGATTATCAGGTACAAGTACAATTCCAGAATGGAAGGTCGCATAATGTTGCCATCGGATGTCGTGAGAGCATTTTTCAGCACCAAAAACGAGCAAAGCGAGAAAACAGATTTCAAAGGTTTCCGAAGGCGTTGTGGAAACCCTGATGAGAAAATGGTCTCGGGGTGGTGGCGGCACGCTAGCCGAATATAATATCTAACGTGTAGAAATACTGTATATACAGTGTATGTACGTTGTATAATGTTGTATATCTTTTTCCCCACCTGCCAGGTGAGGGTTGTTAGATTTTATCACAGTTGTTCTTCCTCCTTCCTTCCTTCCCTTCCCTTCCCTTCCCTTCCCTTCCCTTCCCTTCCCTTCCCTTCCCTTCCCTCCCTCCCTACTTCCTTCCTTCCTTCCTTCCTCCTTGCTTCCTTCCTCGCCACCCTCCTCCCCAATCTTCATCGCCAATCTTCATCGCCAATCTTCTTCGCCAATCTGCTTCGCCAATCTGCTTCGCCGATCTTGTCTGGCAAGCTCCGGATCGCAGTGTGCACCCCTGGACCTCAACCGCAAGGATCCGATCGCAGTGTGCACCCCTGGACCTCAACACACAATTACAAACAGAACAACAAACACGCAACCAGAAACGCACAACCACAAACACAACCAGAACCACACAATCACAAACACACAACCACAAACACACAACCACAAACACACAACCACAAACCACAACCACAAACCACAACCACAAACACACAACCACAAGCACACAACCACAATCACGCAACCACAAGCACCCAACCACAAACACACAACTACAAACACAACCCCAAACACAACCACAAACACACAACCACAAACACAACCACAAACACACAACCACAAACACGCAACTACAAACACGCAACCACAAACACACAACCACAAACACGCAACCACAAACACACAACCACAAACACAACCCCAAACACAACCACAAACACACAACCACAAACACAACCACAAACACACAACAACAAACACAACCACGAACACAACAACAAACACACAACCATAAACACAACCGCAAACATAACAACAAACACAACCACAAACACAACCACAAACACAACAACAAACACACAACCACATACACAACCACAAACACACAACCACAAACACAACCACAAACACACAATCACAAACACACAACCACAAACACAACCACAAACACACAACTACAACCACAACAGAGCACACAACCACAACCACAACACACAACCATAGCACACAACCGGAGGACCCAGAAGCAAAATCGAGAACTACAATACTCACGACCATGACAACATGCTCCTCACTATGGCATCAAGACAAATGATTGAAATGCCATGGTGGGGATCACTCGAAGTAAAGTAAAATATTTTTTTTGTAATATTAAAAAATATTGACAACCACCACATGGTTTGTCAACCTTGCAGCCAGCTCCTCTCTGATGGATCGCAGTGCCTCAATGTTCTGCTTGGCCAAGACCAAGGAAAGCACATCGCACTCCTCATGCCAGTGCGCTCACGAATCCCCAAACCCAGAAAATCCTGCATCCATCAATGAAGCCTGATCCAAGTTCAATAGAATCTATGCAAATTGAGACCATCGCAACACTCTTCCAATGTGAAGGGCGTGCGAGGTCCACAAAATAGTCAAGTGACGTGAGTCCCAAGTCCTTTCCTTTCAGCTTCCCAACCAAAACAATCTTCCACATCCCGAAGCTGCCTCGCTTAGGCGATGGGAGTTGGCGATGTTGAGGACCATCGGGTCGAACTGGTCCAGGATGATACCTCGATCGCCACCGTCTCACGAGACTCGTCACGAGGTCGACGGTCTCGTCCGAGCGCAGCGGTGACCGAGCGCAGCGCAGCCGATTCGATGCTGAGCGTTTGGGTGCGAGTGACTCATCCAATCATTGTTGGTATAGCCCATGACAGTGGCGTTAAAGAGGAACATCTCCTGAACATGTGCCATCGATGTCCACTGTTTCTTTAGCTCTCATCCTGCTTTCTCTCGTGCTGTCTACTCAATGCACATCTGAAGGCACGGAAGAAGTCCATTTCAAGCCGTCTTCGGCACGGCACGTCTGCACGGCACGTCTTCGGTTTTGCCGTCTCTCTGAGCGGTCTTGTCGTCTTCGATTCACGGTGAATACTTGGTGAGGTCTCACATCTCAGGCTCCCCTCAAATCCACAACTAGTAGTCATGCCCTTGTTACTACGTAGTAGCGATGCCAGGAGCGCCCCGTTCGTAGCATCCTTGCTCCTAGTAGAAATGCCCTTTGCTAGTAGCTTCTTGTTTAGATGGGAGAAAAATCCTTGGATCTGATCTCACCAAACACTCTCACGCGGAAAAGCGACCAAACACTCCCATCTGCATGGGTCTCGGTCTCCTTGAAGGTGGTTGGAACCTTCATGTCCTTTCCAGTCCGCTCTTTGAGATTGATACCATCCTTGCAAAAACGAGAACGAAGCGAAGATCCCGTTGCGAGTCCCGTGCACGGATCCAACCATCAGTGTCGCTGCAGTTCTTTCCAATGAGGCGACCCTTGATGATCTGCTTTGTGCCATGTGGATCCATGTCAGCCCAAAAAGACAGCCCGGCCATTGTGAGGGTCAAACTCTCTGAGATCGAAATCCAAAACATAAAAAGAGAAGACCCTTCCAGGCCTGGAAAGACCCATCCCTGCTCACCTGCATCCCATCAAGCACCTCTGACCACGCTTCCATCCAAGGCTCTGAGTCCGGCCGCCCAGCCGCGCCGGCCTCGCCGGCCTCGCCGGCCTCGCCCGCGCCAGGCAGTAGGGCTTCGGCCTCGTCGGTCCAGGCAGACTTCGGGCTCGCCTGGCAGAGGCAAGAAGCTGAGGATACGCTTTCAGAAATGCAAACAAAGTACAAAGGATTCAAATGGTAAAAATCCATCAAAACCTCATTTTGTGCTGACCCTGTACTTTGAACCATACCGTATGACACTCATCCAACCCTTTTCAGCTTCCTAGGTGAACGGAGCCCTTTTAGAAGGTCCTCTTTGGGGACTCATTTAAAGACATGAGGAATCTTCCCTTTAAGGGTCTTGCTTTGCTGGACTTGTCACCTAGAGATTAGAGAGCACATTTCATTTACTATAGTTGTCTCAGAGCCCCCAAGGACAGAAACAGCATGTCGCTTGAGATGTTCAATCTTGAATGGAAAGTCAGCCAAAGTATGCGGAGAGGCCCCAGTCACGGCGACGCCTCTTCAGCATCATCAGCATTCGCTTCCTGAATTCTCAAAAGAACAATAAGAACTGCCCTCCTACGCCTCTGACTCTATTCCTTATCCAAATGGTATGTGAAACGAGGTCTATTCCAAGACATACAGGACAAGTGGGCCCTCCAGGTAGCTCCTTAGGCTCCCTTCTAAAGGAAAATACCAACACTATTAAACATTCCTGTCTCCATCTCTGTAGCTCCCTAAACTCCTTCTGTGCATGAAAGTGTCAGCTTCTACGGCCTCGGGCTCCTCATCGTCATCTTCCCCTGTTTTGATCTCCTTACGACAGACAAAGCCATTTCAAGCCGAAACCAAGATGCTGACAGCATCCATGCACGGCATCCATTCAAAGAATATGGTTTGTCATCCAAACACTGCAACCGGTGAACAAGACACCAAGCCTCACCCTGAAAATTCCCAGAACACCCGAACAAGAAGCTACTAGAAACAAGGGCAATCGCTACTAGTAATAAAGAGCATTACTACAAGGAGCCAATAGCTACAAGGAACAAGAAGCTAAGGCCCTAAAAAGACCCTATTGCCAAGACCCACACGGACCCCCACAGACCAAACCCCCAGTCGCGATCGCACCCCGCACTTCCCGGGGGGCCGGGTTCGCACCGGATATGCTTCACCATCCCCGCATCATGGACCGCCTGTGTCCAACTATGCAGTTTGACACCATTGGACCTCACAAATTCATCAACAAAGGGGTCTTCAGTAATGAAGGATCTTGATTTGTCAAAGGGTCCCACCCTCCCTCTAGCAAACGAAAGAATGATTTCCTGAAACACAATTCCAAGGAGTCTGGCCTAGGAATTGTTTACTAAAACCCAAAAAGCAATAGGAAACCCAAAGAAATCAAAAGGAAATCAATAGATATCAATAGGAACCTGAGTGGTGGTGGTGGTGGTGGTGGAGGATAAAGACTGTCAAAAAATATCTAAATTATACTCTGGGTGAATTAGACCCCACAAAACAATTCTAGGATCTGGAACAATGTCACTAAAACTCTTGCAATTCATCCGCTACCCCCTTTACAAATTAGGAAGTTATATTCGTCACTAAGTCACTAGTCAAGCGAAGCCACAAAATCGACCCAACGTGTGTGAAAAGTGACCCAGTCATACCATTGTCGTAACCGGTCGCCAATCGGCCCAAGGCTCATCTGGGTCCTTGAGGTTATTGGCGATTCGCCAGCTACGCAAAATGATTTTCACTCGACCAGCATATTCGCGGGCCACGTAGCACAAGGCACCTCCCATGTAATTCCTGAGGCAATGCTGAAGTGGATAGCAAGCCAGAGCGACCATTGGGAGAACTCAAGTTTCCCTAAAAAACTAGGAACCAAATGAATAGTGCGAGCGCTTCTTCAAGGAAGCGTGAGCTATCCTGCGTCCATACTAGTATAGCTTAAGTAAGGTACTAGCCGGTTACCTAGCTTCTACCAGCTACCTAGCTACTACCTCCCTCTACGGCCCCCCCCTAAGGACACGTGGACTATATAAGTGCATGGATTCTTTCGGACCCTAGGACGAAGCAAAGCTATCCAAACCTTTCCTAGGACTACGTATGGTCCGAGTCATTACGATCAACAAAGCCGACCAACCCGATCAACAGAGCCATCAAGCTGAGCTCCCAGAGCTCCCAGCGCTCCCGGCTCCCACTGGTCCCCTGCACCATCCTGCGCCAACATCTGTCAACCACTTGGAATCAAATGCCAAGAGTCAGCAAAGCCGTCCAACCCACCTGGGCACAGGTAATTTCTGCTCATCATTTGCCTCTGAATGCTAAGGCATCAATTCATCTTGGTCGCCATGGCTTACCTCTACAGGAAAATATACACTGCAAGAAAATAACCCGTCCGCTGCTTTCTATCTCCACCTGCCACCTTGTTTTGAAGAGACCTTCAGAAACACCCACTTGTTCTGCATTCGCTGATTCACTTGCATCGCCCTTCCAACACAGCCATCTCGCCAAGTTACTCGAGCTCTTCTGGGAAAGCGAAGCCCTAATTCTGCCTCGAACCTTAAAGCTTGGATTGCGGATCAAAAGGACCCACAGCTGCAGGCAGCCCAACGAAACGAGCGCCCCTCCAAAAGAAAAATCACAATTAGTGTCGCTAGCACACAGAAATCCAAACCGAAATATTGAATGCTACATAGACTATCTTATATTATCTTCACTACTGCTATGCCACTCATTGAAGAATCGAGGCAGCCAAACAGCACAACCGAAAGTGCTCAGGTGAGGTATGACACGATCGACGACCTCTTGATCGGTTGATCAACCTGGTCGTGCTGATTTTGGCCCCTAGCTCCACCTCATTCAACCTCGAGGTGTCAGTACAAGTCCAGCGCCAAATAGCAAAACCCTATGGTGCGCTGAGGGAACTTTGACTGGAACCCTCCTCCTCCATCCTACAAAAACGATAACAACGGCTGCTGCTACTACTGCTACTACTACTACTACTAGTCCTACTACTACTCCTACTCCTACTCCTACTCCTACTCCTACTACTACTACTACTACTACTACTACTCCTGCTGCTGCTGCTGCTGCTGCTGCTGTTGCTACTACTACTACTACTACTACTACTACTACTACTACTACTTCTACTCCTACTACTACTACTACTACTACTACTTCTACTTCTACTTCTACTTCTTCTACTACTACTACTCCTCCTCCTCCTCCTGCTGCTGCTGCTCCTACTCGTGCTACTACGACGACGACGACGATGGTGATGATGATGAATGATGAATGATGAATGATGAATAATGAATAATGATGAATAATGAATGATGAATGATGACTGATGACTGATGATGATGATGATGATGATGATGATGATGATGATGATGATGATGATG